TTGTTCTAACTACATTTAACATAATCAACTTTGCAATGCTCTCTCTCTCTGATAACAGGGCTATTCATATCCCTCAACTATGATTGGAGAGGATTCATCAGAGGCTAAATCCATATCTGGACCCTGCAAATAGATTTTGGGCTTCCACTGTCATCCATAGCTTTCTGAAAACCAAGTGTTCACAATTTAAGCTTTCATGCTATTATTTACAATCCTTGGATCACACAGGCCAGTGTGCTTCTTCCATGTGGACTTAGTTGATGCCTGCTTGTTTGACCAGATGTCTTAGATGTCTGCTTGTTTGACCAGAAGCCTTTAAGACCCAAGATACTATTCTTTCTGATAGCTGGGCACCATCTACTTTCTTCCCTACACTTTGCTATATCACTCATTTATTTAGTGATCTCGTATTAAGGTTGAGCATCAAGCAGGGCCATGCCATAAGAATTAATTGTTCTTCGATTGGGGCTAGAATCAAGTAAAAAACCCCAAGTCCATTCAGACATTTATAGTTTATATATGTCTATTGTTTACCTTAAAGGTTTCATTGTCATTTTATGTTAGGCTCACAGGCACAGTTCTACCCTGTCGTATAGGATTGCTATACGTCTACATTGACTTGAGGGCAGTGTAAATGATGCACCAAGGGGATGGCTGATAATCTTCTCTCTTTATCTCTTATAAAATGAAAGGTGTGGCTCAAGAAAGGTGTAACTGGAGTCAGGCTAGGACTTGAGCCGCATCCTCTTGAGCTGTGTGCCTCCAGACACAACCTACCCCAATCCTGTCTCGGTCACATATTGCAAAATAAACAGTTAAATATAAGAGCTCCTGTCACTAAGCTTGTCATCTTCCTTTGGAAGTACCTTTGTACTTCATACGTATATAATAGCTTTTAGCAGCTGAAGTAGAAACAAGGCTGACATAGACACTAGAGCTGGAAGACACACTGAAAAATGCCTAAATTGTGTATGAAGTTCAGATCTTTATAGTGAAGCATCTCTTTCATATTTGGGGTCTGTTTGGATTAGATTGTGTTCCCTAAAAAGATATGTTGATGTTCATATCCCTGTACCTGTGAATGTGACCTTGTTTAGGGAAATAGGTTCTGTCTTTGCATATGCTATCAGCTGAGAAAGTCTTATGCGAGTGAAGTGAGTTCTAATCCTAATGACTTCTGAGTGGCCTTTTATAAGATAAGCCTGATATAGAGGAGACACACACAGGGGAAACACAACTTGTGAACATCCATCTACAAGTCAAGGAACCAAGAAACACCCAAGGATACTGGGAACTGAAACAGACAAAAAAATCATTTTTTCCAACTGTAATGGGGAGAGAAAGCATAGTCCTACCAATGCCTAGAATTCAGCCTCCAGAATGGTGATCAAATAGATGTCTGCTTTTTAAAGCCATGCACCTTGTTGTGTTTGGTTATGCCACCCTAGGAAACCTAGATGGTGTCTCGCTTTTCTGTCAAGGTGGAGGGTAAGCTCCTTCGAATTTAGAATAACTGCTCAGCGAAAGAGAGGTTCAACACCTTCAGTCGTGTTTTCTTGTTGTGGAATGGGACAATTGAAGGCTTGAGCAGAGGCCAGAGTTGGCTTGTGTTGATGATTCCATGGTTTTTGAATCAAGCAACCAATAAACCAATTATATTATCAAGTCAATGAGTATTTATTGAACAGTTACTTACTATGTTGTGAGTCCTTCAGATATCCATAGTTCTCTCGATTCCTCTCCCTTTTGGCATCTTTAAGCTTCACAACCCTCAGCACCTCACACTTGTTCAAGAAAACCAAACAAACCCACTGCCATTGAGTTGATTTCGACCCATAACAACCCTAACTAGGGTTTCTGAGGCTGTCAGTATTTACCATTTGAACCACCTACCGTGCAGTTAGCCGTCCAACATTTAACGGACAATGCAACCAGTGTGAAAAAGATTCAATTCTGAGAGCTAGCCCCCTTCCTCTCCCTCAGGACATCATCACAGCATGAAGCTGTAGGGTATTTGTTAGTAGAGTTAAAGAGATAGGGCTACAGACATAGGGAGTAGAGATTTCGTGTTCGCTTCCAGACCACTACAATAAAGGGAGTCACAAATGGTTCGGTTTCCCAGTGACTCTAAAAGTCATATGTAAATTATATTTCAGCCATTCAGTGTACAGCAGCATTATGACAAGGTTTAAGATATGGTGAAAATTACCACATGAAGTGAGCATATGTTTCAGTTAATATGGTGCCAGTAGACTTGCTTAATTTAGGATTACCAGTAAACTTCAATTTGTAAAAACAAAAAAAAACAACCAGTACCTGCAAAGCACAATAAAACAAAGTATGCCTGGATGCTCATTCATACCTCACACTTGGGCAATCTTACTTACAGGCAGGGAATACTCTAAGAACATTAAATTTATCCACTAAATTAGAAAAAAAAAGAACAGTTGGCATTATAGAATATTCAATGCATGTTGATTGAAGTATGCAGGTTTAATGAATCTCAATTTATTGTGTAATAAGAAGGTGGGATAGTGACCTCGGCTTATTTAAATCTAAAATTAATGATCTCTATGCTGTATCTAAACTTGACCAAGGGATTATATAAACTGTACATATATGAATGGATTTGGAGTTTATACTTATTCATAAAACCTAATCTAAGAAAAATGTATTATGGTGTAGATCTATTTCATTGGTGAGGATTTAGCTGACATCTCACTTAGATGGCTGCGTGTTTTAAAACGAGCCTTTCAGACCTCAGACACTCTTCTCTCTGATGGTTGGGCACCACTTGATTTCTTCTCCACACTTCGCGATAGCATTCATATCTTCATTCATCACTTCATGAGGGCAAGTTGAATTTAGCCAAAGTCCCATGATTTGAAGCATTTTTACTAATTTCCAACTTTTTGTTTTTACCATGAGTATATATATCTTCAAATAAATTCATCCATCTTTGAGTCCAACTGACTACTTCATACCTACTATTTCATATTCTTAAGAATTTTTCTCTTAAACTAGGAAGCAGCTTGAGATAGTGCTCGTATGGTTCCCCAAACCAAACTGACTGCCACAGAGTCAATTCCAACATGGTTAAGTTACGTCACTTCCTACACCTTCTACCTTCCCCCCTACCTGATGGCCTGCTCTGAGTCCTCTTTCCTTTGGAACTATGTTGGGTTCTGGAATAGACAGGGGATCTGAACAGGGCCTTTCATTAAGAATCTTTTCAACCTTCAGCTTTACCAGGGCTTAGGCATATTTTCATGAAGAAAATGCACAAGAAACAGGAAGATCAAAGATAGATTCCTATTAGATTTCTTGCTTAGTGTGTGTTCAGCTTTTCTCATTCATTAGCGAGAAATGGTGATAACTCACGTGACCGCAAATAGACTAAGTGCCCAGTTACCACTAATTCATTTTACCATGATAAGCTGTAAAAGTTAGAAACAAATTCTACTCTCCTAACTGGGAAATTCGTGCCCTGGGCAGAATACTATGAATTTGTTTGGCACATTAGAGCACATTTACAGAACACCTCGTTATTTTTATGCACTAGGAGTTTTTGAAAAAGGTTTACTTAATGTGCATTTCAATTCAAACTTATGGCTTTCCAACATTTTCCAACTTGCTTTAGGGTAAGGAGAGACTGATTTTATTGGTCAATTAGAAAGCATTTGTTAAAAATGAAACTATTCAATCAATTGTGCTAGGTGCTTGAGCTGAAAAAATGAATAAAATATTGCATCTACCTTCAGAAAGTTTATACATAATCCAGTGAGAAAAGCAAACAATAAGTAGTTATTAGATAGTGCCATAATGCTAAGATATTGTTGGTAGGTACATCAAGCTGTACCTGATCATAGCCACTCCATGTATAAAAGAATGAAACACTGCTTGGTTCGGGGGCATTCACACAATTGTTGCTATGTTTGAGCCTATTGTTGTGGCCGTTGAGTAAACTCAACTCCTTGTGGGTCTTCCTCCTTTTTACTCACTCTCATCTTTACCAAGCCATGATGTCCTTCCAAGGGATTGGTCTCTCCTGAATAACATGTCTGAAGTATGCGAGACACAATTTCCTCATTTCTCAGGACAGATTTGTTGCTTCTTCTGGCAGTCCGTGGTACTTTTAATATTCTTTCCAACACCGCAGTTCAAATGCATCCATTCTTCTGGGATTGTCCTTGTTCGTTGTCCACTTTTAACCCGGACATGAAGAGAGTGACAATCTCATGGCTTGAGTCAGATACACCTCAGCCGCAAAGTACCATCCTTACTCTTTAGTACTTTAACCAGGTCTTGGGAAGCAGATTGTTTAATTTCTAGGCTGCTGCTTCCATGAGCACTGGTTGTGGATGCACGCATGACCGAAGTAACTATAAATATTTGGGAACATCAAGAGGGGAGCGACTTCCTCTGGAGGTGGAGGTGGTGGAAACAAAGACAAGTGGACTTACGTTAAATGATACGTTGTAGGATATACTGTGAATGGTCTGGTTGGTGTTAAAGTTTCTAGTAAGCATGTCTCATAGAGTCAATACAGACTAATAAAATATTTTTCTGGGAAGGTAATCTTAGAAATAAATCATGTCAGGGGCCAACTTAATCCTATCAAGGCAAAATACAATAATAAAAGACAAGTAGGACACTCTTTTATAGACATTGAAGGAAACACTCATGAAAACTGTCCTTCCTATTAATAAATTTGATATTTGATAAGACACGGTTAATGGATGGGCCACAATAATAGGGGATGCCTTTATTTATTATTCCCATAGAGTCAATATGATTGACACATGTCATACCTGAGCTTACATTTAAAGGTAACTTACAAGTAGGTTTTAATGATAAGATAAAGGGTCAAAGCAACTCTATGAGCAAGAGAGAAGAGCCTGGTCATTCCTCACTCCCATGGAGGGAGAATCATTTTGGAGTCTATACTCTCAGCCCAACAACCTGGAAATCACATATAAACTTCCGGCGGTGGCTGCGGCTGCGGGGATTTTGGAATGTTCTATGCAGTGAGAAGGGGCCGCAAGACCGGGGTGTATCATATCTGGAATGAATGTAGAACACAGGTGGACTGGTTTCCTGCTGCTGCGAGATTTAAGAAGTTTGCTACTGAAGATGAGGCTTGGGCCTTTGTCAGGAACTCCGTGAGCCCTGCTGCTTCAGAAGGCATAACTAATAGGGTTAAAGGTTGGAAGAAGAATGGATGGAGAACCAGCACAGGGAAAGAGGTGATCAACAAAGAAGACTTCGTTGAACTGGACAAACTCACCCAGGGTACGGATATTCAGTGGATGCATATTCCTGGCCATTCAGGATTTGTAGGTAATGAAGAAGCGGATAGATTAGCAAGAGAAGGAGCGAAGAAGTCCGAAGACTGAAAGAAGTCATTGTAATTCTTGGGAACATGCACTGGGGGCCGTTTTGTTGCTTTTACTTATTGGCGTGGAAAATAAAAGACTGGGATGAACTATTGCAGTTGATGCAGTGGCACAGTTTTCTGACAGTCAGAAAGGCAGTATAATTTTCTTTGAAATACAGTGGTTAGATGTGCAATCAATTGGCCATCCTTTGAGATTTCAGAATTATGTTTATTGAACATGGTACTCTTCTCATTTGCTTGACTGTAGTTGGAATGCAGATGCAAACAAAGATGTTGAGTCCCGTGATGTTAAAGCTGATAAGGCATCCCTTCCTTTGGGCAGATAGATGTAGCCCCATGGCAGAACAAAGGTTAGCAGACAGAATGTAAACTGGGTCTCGGCCTCACTTACCCTCTTGGGTGGCACTCCTGTTGTGCATCAACTGCACATAGGTAGTTCTGGCTGCTAGACTATAATACAGGAACAGTACAGTTTTTAAAGACCAATGTCATATAAATAAATATTTTTTTAAATGTCATTAAAAAAAAGATAAAGGGTCAGCATGAAAAGTAAGTTCCACCTAAGTATAGTTGATGGCAAATGGTTAATAAACTAGCTTCTTTTCTTTATTGTTGGCTATCTGTCATACTCCTGTCTGGGACTCTCCATGGTGCATACACAGGTTCTATTACATTAAATTAAATTCATCAAACATTTATTGAGAGTGTTTTGTACATTAGGCACATAATCTGTAGGGGACAAAATAGAATTGGAAAGCTGATTGCAGAAGAAAGACTATTGGTTTCATTCAAACTTTCTGTTATCACAATGTCAAAAGATTCAAACAATTCATACATTCAGAACAGCACAGAAAAATATAGATTTCTTGCTGTTGCATACAGCTAGTTGAAACAAATTATTCTCTTCCTGCTGGCTGCAGAATTTCTTTGAAGGAAGGAATTGCCGGTTTAGGGAAATACCTTGATAAGATGCTTGAACAAAAAGTGAGACACTGAAATAATGAGTTAGTCAGAGGCAAAGTAACAAAAGATTTAAGAGATTGTCATTAGATGTGAAGGGAACGTTATTGGGATGGGGGAGTCAAGAAGGGGAAAGACATGTGATTTAGTGCCCACCATGCTTCAAAATGGGGCATCTAATTCTCAATTTTTCAGTTGTTGTATTGTGGTGAAGCCAACTCCCCTTATGCCCCTTCCCAAAGCCTTTAGTAAACTGTGTCACACACACAGAAAATGGACATTATTAGTCAGCCTTGCCTACATCCCTAGTGTCCCTCCAGTTCTGCTTTATTGCTAACACAGCACTTGAGACTGCCTGAAGCAACCTTGTTATTTTATTTACCCTCTTACTGTTTATTTTCTATACCTTACTTCCTCCCTATCTGCATAAATGGTACGGTGGCCCTATCTGACCTCCTCTGGATTCACAACTCCATACAAACCCAAGGACGATTGCCACAAGGTAGAGGTCAAGAATGCTTCCACTCTCCGTCTTTCTTTATCTCTTCTGACACCAACTCTTCCTATCACAACACTCTACTTTTCTGCTGGGTTCTTTGTTGCTATGGCCACACGCACTCACAGACTATATTCAGAATGAAGGGAACTTATTAGGGAAGTTAACATATAACCACAGGATAAGTGAACAGTAAGGATACAATCATTGGGCCACAGCACAATCTCTCAGCCAATAGCCAAGTCTCTCTCTAGTTCTCAACCTCTTGACCACATGATCCCGTGGCCTCTACCTCCTGGGCTAGGAGGCCCACTGTTCTGTCTCACAGTGCCATGGTTTCAGCACTACTCCTCTGCTCTGTCTCACGGTCTCCTTGCCACAGCCTCTGGTGCCTCTGCCTTTGGCCGCTGCCACTTCAGATCTTGAACATGCTCCAGTGGTGGTGCTCTTTCGGATAGTCCTAGGATTTCTCTGTGTTCTTGCCTCTGAGATGGATCATTCTTATATGGAAGTGTGGTTCTTGCTTTTCAGCAGACCGTACCCCTAAGGAAACAAAAATGGTGACTTGAGTCACATTCTCTTCTGAGGTGGACACTCAGAACATAGCCCACCTTAATCCTGTCCAGTGACATAAAAGAACTCCCTCCCAAATGGGATTATAACTGCCAGCACAGAGGCTAGAATTTATAGTCCATCAGCAAAGGGATTATGGCTAGAAGGACCACATGAAGTAACTGATTACATCTCACCATCCTATCGCATTCCAGTCTTGCCTCACATATGAGGATATATGCCTCTTGAGATTAGTGCCTTGCCTATCTTGTCAATTGCTGTGCTCCCAATACCTAGAACAATGCCCAGCACACTAGTAGGTGCTAGATAAATATTTGGGGAATTAAGGGTCTTTGAACTACCTGAATTACATATAGCTCACACAGATATTCTTTGAACTCTTGTTCTACCTGTGGCCAGACTGCATAGTCCTGCCTTTAACTAGACTTTCCTTTTGTTTTCAAACAACATCAACAACAAAACCCATTGCTGCTGAGTCAATTCCAACTCATAGTAGCCCGATAAAGGGTTTATGAGACTCAAAACTCTTTCAGAAGCAGAAAGCCTCATCTTTTCCCTTCAAAGTGGCTTTAGGTCTGAACTGCTTGTCAACCTGGTGGTTAGCAGCCCAATGTCTAAACTACAGCATCACCAGGACTCCTTTCCAATGTGTCTGTAGGAGTGTTTCTTTCTTTTTTCTTTTTGGTCAAGAATCCAGAGTTCACTTAATAAGATTTAAAAAGGGACAATAAAGGGCAGTCATTTTGATCTGGGAGTAAAGGCTCATAGGGAGATATACAGAGGGATCCTTGGGAATTCTTACGGACACTTTCCTCCTGCTGCAGTTACATTTGTTTTGTATGAAGACTGAAACTCCAATAATTGACACTGGGATAAAACATCAAGAACAAAAGTCCACCACTGCTGTATCAAGTTGATTCTGGTTCATAATCACCCCAGAAGATAGAGTAAAACTGTTCTGTAGGGTTCTTGATAATAGTATTTATGGAAGCAGACTGCCTCATGCTTCTCCCATGAAGTGGCTAGTAGGTTAAAGCCATTGACATTTTGGTTAGAATCCCAATGCTTAACTTACTGTGTGCCATTTTTACTGATTCTCTTTGACATTACTATTTCAGATCTCCCTGGGAATTGTTTTGTCAGATAAAATGCAGGGCACACAGCTAAATTTCAATTTCACATGAAAAATTGTGTTAGTCTGGGTTGACTAGGGAAACAAAATTCATAGACACTCATATATGTGTAAGAAAGAGCTTTATATAAAAGAGCAATTGTATATTGAGAAAACATCCCTGCCTAGTTCAGATCAAGTCCGTAAGTCTGATATTAGTCCATATGTCTGATACTAGTCCATAATTCCTCTTTAGACTCAAGTGGCATATGCAATGATGTTGACTTCAGGAAGATCATAGGCCAGGGGGTAGAAGGTCTTGTGGATCCAGTGGCAGTGGAAGCATCTCAACACTGGAACAGGTCTCCCTGTGTCTCTCCAGCTCTCTGAGTGTCTCAACAGCAAGAAGGGGAAGGCAGAGAGAGTGTCCCACCTCCAGGGAGGAAGAAAAAGTTCCAGAGTCCTCAGAATAAGGCCATGCCCATCCAGAGACATGATTGGCTATGACCTGATTGATAGGCTAGTTCACCCCTTCATTCAAGTTGACAGGAGATTATGTAACTGCCAGCAATGAGTGATTTTTATTGTATAAGCATGCCCATACATACATACAATACTCTCCCCTTGGTTGGGTTAATGCCCTGTTCCCCCATTCTCGATTTCTTTTTTTTTTTCTTTTCCCCCATCCTTTTTAGTTGGGTACCATATGTATCCCTGGATTTGGTCTGGCCTCTGCCATACTACCTGGACTTCACCCCAGTGTAGTATATATTGATGATAAAGTGTAATATTAGCACTATTTCTGGGAATATAAACATAGCAGTGAGATTTTACAATGGTACAGGTACCTCCTTGATATTTATATATTATATTTTAGAATACCACCTTTCTCATCATCGTTATTTCTTATTGATCTCTTGAAGCCCATAAGCACTGTCATTTAGGACAGTTGGTATATTTTGGTTAATATTTCTATATGTGTCATAACATCTTCAATTCTTAACTGAAGAGCTAATCTTGCTGTTAAATGATTGAGACAATGAAATGCAAACTGAAACCGCTGAGCTCTTACTAGTACATTAGCTGGTAAAGGGGCTCAGTTAAAATATGTTCTTGAGTTCAACCCAGGCCCAGACTGCATACTTGAAGTCAGTGTGCTTGGAGTTAGGGCCAAAGGTAGATTCCATATGGCCCTGAAAGTGCTGTTTAGAGCTACCCAGTGAATAGTTGAATGTCATGCTAGTTGGTGGTGAATGAATCAGTATGTTTTTACGGTTATAGCTGATACACCTTCACATATTTTAGGTTATCCTGTAGTTCTGGAGAGAGAGGAATTATTCATACAGATATGGTTAAATTGGCTGCAGCAAAGGGAAATCACCTGACTTAAGCTCTCCCCTTGGAGGGTTGACTCGGTGAATCCATTCTATAGTTGTGGATATGAGCCTACCATGTGAAGACACTGTGGGTTTAGAAGATCTTTTGGCTGGTCCTTTATGGGCAGTTTTACTTAGCAAAGCTCAGGTTGTGCTAAGACTGAAGGTTGAACTATGGCCTAGCTATCATTCAGATCCAAAAAGAGGCCATTTAGCAATAGAAAATCTAAGAATAATGATTTCATGTAGAAATGAGCTATTTTCTGTTCTTAGCTTCACAGATCAAGAGTATGCTAATCATATCCTTGTAGTGGTGAGACTACATGGAAAGCCAAACTGAATTGAGATTAGGAGAGCATCAAACAGCTAACAAGTAAATCCTTTAAATGGTGAACTTAAACCCAATCTAGGAAAACATTAATAGAAAACATTGTAACAAATGTAGAGGGAGAGTGGGTTGGAAAGAGGGAACCGATTATAAGGAACTATATGTAACCTCCTCCTGGGGGGACGGACAACAGAAAAGTGGGTGAAGGGAGACGTCGGACAGGGCAAGATAT